TCACACCGCTTATGCTACTACACCACTATCACTGTACATTGGCAAAGCTACTTCGTGACTGGGCTCCGACGCAGTGCAGACACCTGATAAATGCTTAGTGAACAAGTCTTAGCGTAGTTCACGTGATGGCACCATTGTGATGCACCAATACCATCACCGCTATCAGCACCATCATCACCTTTGCTGCAATTACACGTATGGCTGCAACTCACGAGGGTAATACTGCCATAATCTAGCGCATGACGAACAAAGCAAAGGAGGACAAGAAAACAAACGGCTATTATGGCTAAGTTGCAGGACCTTATCACTAGTCCGATTACTATGTCGTTCTTCACACACTTCAATGTTAGATTATCTCAAAAGCAACTCACGCCGGTAAGTCCCCATGATACCTCAAATAGGAACGCAGCAATCCTTTTCGTGATTGGATCTCTTCCCAAAGACCTGTTCTGTACATTTACTCCCATGTGGAAAATAACTACTCTTTGAATGCTTAAAAACGCACACATTAATTTGGAACATAAGAGTATTGTTGAATTCAAAATATGACTGATCGGTGAGGCGTCTCGCTCAATAATTAACGCAGCGAAAATCTCTGTACTGTGTGGCTCAAATATTTCAAACACTGATGTTAGCTTTAACAGCATAGTTATCAATTGTGTTCAGCATGACTCAAGTCACCCAATCACTTTCATCCTCATTATTTAAAGCCCTATAATCTACATATTCTGTCTACCCTAAAGCCTATTATTAAGAAGGAGAAAAATTTAGTATAATTCAAAACGCCATGGCAACTTGTCTGCTGAAAGTTTAATTAGGTTTATAGACTACGACCAAGAAGCTTTACAATATTTTAATCATTAGTCAGCTGCTCAAACTATTTATTCGAAAATCTACAGACACATAACAAACCCATGTGGTGAGGACACGTACCTTAGCAAGGAGTTTCATCACATCACTGCTTTTCGATTTCGTCTTACCAAAGACCCGTATGTTGAAGGTGGCGGATTTGATCTTCTGTTATGTGGGTGCTGGAAGCCTTAACAAGCACATCACAAGGAGTAGTGGTAGCAAAATCACGAATGATTTCCCAAGGTGTGGTGAGCATTGTGAAACTGAGTTGAAGGTCGCCATTTATCACAGCAGTATGTGCGGTTTTGCAGTGCAACGCCGAGGTCAGACGCGATGCTGTCATTGGTCAATGGGATAGTGTTAGCT